CCAAGGTGAGAAGTTGTCCGCCTCTGCTTACTTGTCGTGCATGGACAATGGGTTGGCAATGAATAGCAGCATAGCATAATATTTCTACCCAAAATCTGCTCATTAAGTTCCACGGACAGCTACCGGGCTGATATTGGAGGAGCTCCTTGACAAGAAAACCTGCAACGGTTATTCTCCGAAAGCTAGCTATACGATCCTTTTCATGGGGTGCTAACTTGTCCACATCTTTCTTCAACAGATCTAGCTCTACATAACCCTCTTTAGCATTGCCTTCCAATGGCCAATTCAGCAGGTCTTTCATCAAAATTTGCCAATTAAGTGGCCACTTCCATTTTTCACCAAAACCTGTGGCCTCAAAAACTATCTTCAAATTGTTAGGCGAGGTGGCTGTCATGGTAGGCTCCATTACCAAAAGGTAAAACATATAATCTGAAATCAACTTGCATATTTGTCGGTGATCGAAACAATCATTAGATGTTGATGTAGGACTGCTGGAGCTGTTATCTGGACATACCTCTCGGTAGCATATTTCAGTGGCTATGTGCCATATCAGGAGGCTTTCCACGTGCTCAAACCTGTCGAGGGTCCAAGCGAAGTTGGTAATATCACCGGTGAGAATTCTAGATGGACCAAAGATTTCCTTGCCAGCCTCGCCAATATCCTTTTCTCGTAGCATTGTAAATATGAACTTCCAAGCTTGTTCTTCTTCAAAATTTTTGAGGGACACACACTGGATCCTTCTTCTTATGCTTTCAAACAAACTGCTTGTGCCAAGACAATAAAACAATTTGTTTGAATAATCTCCATCTTTATTCTCGAAATGACAGGCAAAAATATTTAATTGGGGAACTAAATTCGACCACCTGCGCCTTTCAATGAATTCATCATAATTCTTTCTGGAAGTGTACTTCCTAATGATAATCCAATCAGAGAACATAAGTAAGCAGATGGATATCAAATCCAATACCAATGCCCCAGTCAGCAACCCATATGTCAGGCAGATGTCAAACTGCCACAAATTATTATGGTAGTACTTCTTAAGTAATATTGAGAATGACACCAAGGCTCCCAAGATGCAACCAAAGTTGACCGTGCGGCAAATATAACCAATCTTGGAATCAACCACGAGCAACTTGGTATGAAGGAGCTCATACAAGAGGCTTAATTGGATCTCTACGATTTGAAGCACCTTATGTGAATCTTTTTCTCTCATAAAATAACCAAAATGCTCTTGTTCTGTTTTAGTCATGGGAGGACCTACAAGTAAGCTCTTGATAGTGCCAACCGTGCAAGCTGCCTTAAGAAACATCGGACACGACTCAGGGCGGCGCCAAACCTCTTTAAACCGCGACCGATGAGCTTGTTCAAATTGTACTGGAATGGGAGCCAATACTGAAATGGGAAACGATTCTGAAGTAATAAGAGACAATTCAGGTTGTGCAGAATATGATGGACATGCCCAATTATTCCCAAAATGGTCAAAGCTTGCGAGATAAAAGGCACGGTTGCGCTCAGCATATTTGATTACCCCTGCAATTAAAACTAGGAGAGTTGGCAGCCAAAGTTTGTTATGTGGGAGTGACTGAAGGATAACATAGATGGTCCAACCAACTTGCAATATAAGCCTAAGCAAGTGCCTAATCCAGAATTCATTGTCCTCCAGAGAGAAGGAAGTAATGGTGTCAGGGCCACCAAGATGCAACAAAAGAAAGGGTGCCCAAAAGGCTACAATGTCACTGCGTTCAGCACGCAACATGAGTCCAATAGTGAATGTAGCCACCCAATCTGCAAGTAGGTATGCTATCCAGAGTGGAATCATGATGATCCATTTCCCACCTCTTTGCTTTCTTAATGGGGCAAACAGAACTAGGAAACACTGTAGGAAGATGCTCAGAATAATTAGGACTCTGATATTCCAAGTATCCCATAGCTTCTCGACGTGTTCAGCAATGAGCAATGGCATCATCTTTAATCTGCTTTGTTTTGTTTTGCCAGAGGTAGTCAAACTTTAACCAACACACTTAGGGATGCCCAATGAGTCTAGTTCAACAACAACGTCCTGAGTTGGAGATCCTACATTAACAGATACATAGACTTCGGTTTCACACTTTTGAGACTGGAAAATTTATATGTCAAGAGAAAAAAATTTAAAAATTCTAATGTATTTTATTATTATTAAATTTTGCAGTAATGTAGCTGATTAATTTTGGTACAGCTACAACCCTGTACAATAATTAAAATTTTATGTTTTATTATTAATTTGTCAGCTTCTGGTCCCTTTGGTCTCCCCCATCTCCCCTGTTTTTTCGTTTTTCTGTTATACTACCCCGACCTTCCCTTTTTCTTTTTTTTTTTTTTGAAAATAGGTAATGAGAACTACTCCGACCTTCCGTTTGCAAGCGCATTGTAACTGTTTTGACAGTACCATATCTCTAATAAGTAAATTTATTAAAATAATTAATTTTAATCAATATCTTTATATTTTAATAATTTACCATACTTTTTTCTCTTTATATTAATAATTTATTTATTATTATTCTTTCTCATGTTATCATGTCATTTCTATTTTTCCTTTTTAGTTATATCTTTAAATCTTTATTTATCAAAATATATTTCCTTTTTTACACCAATTTTTACTTTTGTTACTCTTCCACTTATCTATACTTAAGCTTTTATTAATTTTTTGAAACTCTTTCTTTTAACTTTTTGTCTTACATTTTATGATTATATTTATCTATCTATTCTACATTCACCATTATTTTCATTTTATATATTAATACTTTGTTTGCTATTAATATTTCTCTCCTTATCCCTATTTCTTTAATATTATCTTTTTTTAATCATTTCTTGAATCTTTATTTATTATTATATACTATTTTTACCTTAATTTCTCTATCTGCCTCTTCCCAATTACATTAGAATTGTTATGACTGTCTTGAAAGCTATAAGGCTCTTTACTATTTTGACAAATTTTTGATAGTTTAGACTTCTAAAAAAGAAAACATAAAAACATTATACAATTCCTCATATAACCTTTTTCTTTATTCTTAGATTCTTAGGAAGTGCTCTTATTTACTGCTTAAGTTAAAGTGGTTCATTTAGAATTTATTTTGTACTTTTGAAATTGAGTTTTTAAGTTAATATAACCATTATAAATTTGATACGCATTGATTACATGTATTACAATTTATAATTATTCATAATTTTTGAAATTATAATAATCATTATTTAAAAATACATTTATATAGAATTAAAAAAGAAAAAAAAAACACTCTTAGATGACAGGGGAGGCCCACATATTTAGGAACCCTCCCCATCCTAGGTTTAGTTTTGTATAATTCTATGTAGTCTAAACTACACAAAATATTTATATGGTAACAACAATAAAAATTAAAAATATTTAGGTGAATCATGCAGTACCTTTTTCTCCGAAATCAATCCATCCTAACTTTCTTTGTTTCAGATCTTGGCACTCCAGTTTGCTCCCTCCAACAAAATATCTGGCAGAATACTTAGTAATAATAATTATTATTATTACAAATAAAAAACTAAACTTTGTAGTCCCTCTGTCCCAATGTAGTTGTCTTTTTTTCAATTAATCAATAATTTGGGGATAATAATTGTATTTATATATAAAAGATAAAGAGAGACTTTTTGTGATTGGATAATTAATTAAAGTGAATGTATAATGATGAGATTAATATAAGAACAAAATATTTGTCTACCTTAAGAAATAAAAAAATGATAATTAATTTGGATTTCAAATTTAAAATAAAAAAACTATACTTATTTTGGGACAAAGAGAGTACATAGACTAAAGAATAGTTAGGCCAATAAGGTTGTCAAGCCTACAGCATATATTTGAGAAAAAGGTTTAGATAAAAATATAAATTTTGTCATTTTTTATTAAAGAATATAAACTTTTTGGGCTTTTAAGTAAGATAGTAAACTTTCACTTTCTCTATTTGTGAATATAAATTTTGCCATATTTCAATTAATATTGTCATTTGCCACATCATCATCGCCAGCTAATGAATCTTTACATAGAAAAAAAAAAGTTCATATCCTTATTTGAAAACAAATTAAAAGTTTATTGCCAAATTTAAAAACCTAAAAGTTCATATTTTTAAGTATAAAAAAAAAAAAAGAAGAAGACAAAATCTATATCTTTACCTATACATTTTCACCGTATATTCTTGTTCAAATTTACTGAGGTCAAAGTTGACATCAGCTGAATTCCAGTTTATACATTTTCACCGTATCTTATGCTACATGCATAAGCATAAGATGATGGTGTTTTCCAGTGTAAATTTGTACTTTTTTTGTATAATTTGAGTGTTAAAATTACTAAAATATGATTAATAAATAAATATAGAGGGCATTTTTATTAAAGATATTTTACTAATTTAAGTATTTAAACCATAAAAAAATACTTTTCTATTGAAAAATACTTTTCTGTAACTTAATAAAATAGTAATAGGATTAGTATAATCAAAAGTACATGTACCAAAAAAAAAAAAATCAAAAGTACACAAAACTTTTATATGGTAACAACAATAACAAATTTAAAACATTTAGTACCATACCTTTTTTCCTAGAAATCGATCAATCGATCTTAACTTTTTTTGAATTCAGATTTCGGCATTGTTGTTTTCTCTATCCCAAAAAAACTCCTGACAGAAAATTTAGTAACAAAAATAATTATTGTAGATAAAAAAACTAATTTTTTTTATATAAACAAAATAAAGTCAGACCGTAAAATACAAATTTGAGCGTTGAGCATATATTCTTGTTCAAATCGACTAAGTAGGGTCAAATTTCACCTCGAGTTCTATAATTTTGTTACACATTATTTTTTCACTATTAATTTAATTAGTTAAATTTTATGTTGGGTCTATTAATCATTAATAAATTATTATTTTAATTTAAAAAGTTTAGTTTGTTTTTCTAACAAGATTCTTATATGTTGGTGCATAGGTAGCACAATAATATAAACCCATATGTCTCTAAAAAATTACATTTTAATAACCAGAAATGGTGATAGAAAAATTGGAAAAGAGCATTATCAATTATCCAAGATGAGAAGAAAATTAAGAAAGTAAGGGATGTGAGGTCGGTTATGCAATAAAATGTAATTTTCTTGTGTTATGTCATGTCTATGTAGTGTCATGTAGTTGCTTACATGGAATTCCGCTAAGAAAACAAACATAATTTTGTTAGATATAACATTTTAATATTTTGACAGTAACAATACTATCCATTTAAACCTCAATTTTCTTAAATTATGTGGATGTTGCAGTTATGTTAAGAAAAATAGGTTTTTAATTAAAAGTTGAGCATTACTCCAACAATAGCTCAATCATATCAATTTAAACCTCAATTTCCTCCAAATTGACGAACCTAATCTAAGAGAATTATAAAAATTAATAGTACCAAAATGCACTAATCCATATATAATGAGATATTTTAACAAAAAGAGCAAAGAATCAAAGCTATATGCAGCCAAAGAATACTCACCACTTGGCAGAAGTTGAAGAATGAATTAATGAAAAATGTTTTCTGCTAGAGGATGAGGAGAGAAATAGTCGTACCATATAGGAAACCATGCAGGAATATATATAGAGACCAAAACACTACTATTATGGATTCTTTGCTTCTTTGGCCGGCAAAGGAAGGCATAGAAGCATATATATCTTTTTGTAGGTGTTACGTACCGTTGATTTTTAGTCGTACGACTGGAGAAAATGGAAGTGTAAAGAGCATGAGAAGATTATAAACGGTTAAAACACTAATTTGGGGTACTTTTTAAAGTTTAAAGATGAATTTGTTAAAATCTAAAAGTTGAGGAATTAAATTGATATTTCTACCAAAATTAATTGCAATCTGAGTCACATGTAAAAGTTGCACTAGATGTAACTAGTGCAGCAAGTTCCATGAGTGTCTTTCAGGCAAGGGACAATTAGTGCAGCTCGGATAAAAAGTAAATCTAGCACAATTAAAGGATATTAATGGGAGATAGTACAAATTTTATTTTATTTTTAAACCTATGACAAATGCAATAATTGAGGAAGAGAA